ACGAGGGGGCTGGAGAAGAGCCAAGGGCCACAGTGACCCCCTGGGCCTGCTCAAAAGGCCACTATCTCCGACCACAGCCACCACGGCCACACCGCAGGTGCCCAGAGACCAAGCATCCTCCACCCGGGTGTTTTCTACCTGGCCACTGGCTGACCAGGCCACAGTGACACTCTGACCTCCTGGGAAGGCATTTTGCACCAACAAAACCACTTTTTCCAATCCCGAGCTCTGCAGCCACCTGATTGGCAGCTTCCGGTGAAGGTTCCTTCGCTTGGGGTGGAAAGAAATGATTCACCCAGTACTAGTGTGCCAGGCACTGTAACCCCCAGCAAGACCAGGCCCCTTCTACAGCAGAAGTAGCAACTGGCACCAAAAATCAAAGCTCTTTCCCGGCTCACAGCTGGATACCACGGGGCCGGGATTCACACGCAGGCTGGCAGGGCTCCAAGAGCCTGCACCCCAAATGCTTTCGAGAAACAGTGTGGGTTTCTCCCCTTGCTGGGAGAGCCAGGCTTCCTGCAGGTGCCCTGGCCAACTCCTGGACAGACCTCCTGGGCCTTCTGAGAAAGACAAGCAGGAATGGGAAGGCGGAGGTGCCTGAGGGGTGTACGTTGGGTGGGGCTCAAGGCCAGGGAGGAAGCGGCCGCAATGCTCCCCAAACTGCTGGGTGAGCCCTGACCTGTGCCTCCGCAAGCCGGGCCCAGCTGTGGCCCTGGCCTCCAACCCTGCAGCCCAGAGGCAGGAGCCTGAGGACGCACTTCCGTCCCATCTTCTCGTTGGACTTGTGGGGTGTGCACAATGGGGTCTCTGTGGGCTGAGCTCGGCTGCCTGTCAGGCCAAACTGAAGCAGGCTTCCCGCCAAGAAGGAGGGGGCGCCAGGCCCCAGCGAAGGGGACAAGGCCAGGCACCAAAGCCCTGGTCAGCGGCCTGCCTTGGGCAGGAAACAGCTCACCAGGATCCCAGGTTTGGGGAATGGGAGAGTGGGCCCATGACACCAGTGTTTTGCGGCCCTGTGGCAGGGTTTTGGCCCAGACATCAGGGAGCTGCAGCCATCTGTACCCCAAAGCACAGCCCTCTGGCCTGTGGAGACCTCAGTCCCAGACCCCTGTGGGCCAAGCTGTTCCTACTGCCTAGTGCCACTGAGAAGAAGCAACAGGCCCCCAATTTTCCCAGCACGGCATTCCTCCCACCCTCCCAAAGTCCTCTGCAGGAGCAAGAAGCTTCTCCCAGAGACCTGAATGGGTGGAGGCAAAGTCCGAGCCGGGAGCGCGGTGGCGGGGAACGGGGTTATACATTCTGGGAAGCCACGCATAATTAATCACACGGCATTAATCCGCCTCCCCCAACAATAGCTGCTGCACTTCCCCTGGATCCCAGCTGTCGGTCTCTGAATGAAAGGAAACAAGATTTAGGGCATCAAGCGTCCGTGCGGCTTCTGCAGGGGGAGAAGGGGGCCCCAAAAAGCAAAAAAAAAAAAAAAAAAAAAAAAAAAGTAGTGTGCGCATTCATTAGTGTCTGACAAAGACACAGCCGGCTTTGTCCATTAAACTGCTCACGGACCTGCTTAATTGGCTTCAGTTTGGGGAGGGTGGGGGCCGGGGAGGGAGGGGGGCTGCTGCCCACAGGCTGGGCAGTCGGCGCAGGCAGGAGCCGGGCTGGGGTTGTCAAGGGAATGGGACCTTCTACAGTTGGAATGAGGGCGCGCAGACTGGCTGGGGAGCCATTTCTTCATCTGTAGCTCCTGGGGGGCGGAGGGAACTCTTTTTCCAGCCACCAAACACCTCCTCATTATTCTCATCAGGGATGGACTCAAGTTGAAGGGCATCGGCCACAGCAGAACAGTTCCCCACCGCCGACTGGCACTCACAGGCAGGCAGGAGGGAGTGGTTCCCCGCGACTTCCCAGCCCCCTCCATGCCCATTTTACATCTGAGCCTGGCAGACCAAAAGGGCCACGGGATTTGGAGGTCAGAGTTTGCAGATGCCAGGACAGAAACCAGACTCAATAATTACCCCACACCCCGCGCCAAAAGATGAGTTCCGCCTTCTCTTCCCCAGCCCCAGCCTGAGGCCGGGAGGAGGGAGCTGGGGCAAACAAGAGCCCAAAGGCGGGTCCAATTGTGAAGGGTCAATTTCCTTCAAAGAGGCATCACCCGCCCAGAGGGGGCATCACCCACCCAGAGGTGGCATCACCTGTGCCCAAAGGAGGCATCACCCACCCAGAGGAGGCATCACCACCAGCCCAGGAGGCATCACCTGTGCCCAGGAGGTATCACCACCAGCCCAGAAGGCATCACCCACCCATAGAGGGTATCACCCACCCAGGGGGCATCACCTGTGCCCAGAGGAGGCATCACCCATCAAGAGGAGGCATCACCACCAGCCCAAGAGGCATCACCACCCACCCAGGAGGCATCACCCCTGGAGAGGAGGCATCACCTGTGCCCAGGAGGCATCATCACCTGCCCAGGAGGCATCACCCGCCCAGAGGAGGTGCCCCAAGTTGGCAGGGTGGTGGGGTCTGGGCTTCTCAGTAAATGGTCCAGAGCTTCCCCTGACAGATCAACTGTTTCTTGGGGACTTTAAGAAGAATTGGGGTCCTGGGACTCCCACTTAGTAACCCAGGAGCCTGAGGTGGCCCACAGAGGAGTGCCTAAGCCCCCAGCAGTCAGACCAGCTCCACACGCAGCATAATTGCTGGTGATTAAGTAATTGCCAGACTTTGTCCAATAAAAGTCAGCACGTGACCGTGCCCAGACTCTGGGCCATCTCCAGAAGACAATGCCCCAGGGTTCTGTCCCCAGCGCGGCTGCAGAAGGCAGGGGCTCTGCCCTCAACAAAGCAACAGGTCCCGCAGGGGTGGTACTCACACGCAGGCCTCCGTGCCATTGGCCGCTTCACACTTCCCGCCATTCAGGCAGGTCTCACCCGGCTGGGAGCACCGCGGGCCTAGGCAGGGGCAGGAGAAGAGAGGTCAGTCTCACCCGCACCACCGAAGGCCCTTGTTACCCTGGGGGTGGGACCCGCACCCAGCCAAGGGGCACTGTCCTCCCCCGACCCTGGACGCCTCTACTCAGTGACATGGGTTACCAGGGCAGGGGACCACAGGAAGCCCCACCATGAAACCAAAGGGCGTCAACATTCTGCCCAGAGTTCTGTAGTCAGAAATGGGGGGAAGAGGAGCAGCAGGGAACACGTCCTGCTTGAAGCAGGATGGGGTGCCCTGACGTGCCGCCTGGACGCAGTGGGGTAAAAGCAGAGACAAAGTGGGCTACTCTCCCAAGCGTTGCCCCCCACCCCAGAGGCTCACTGGGGAGGCTGGCAGAGCAGGGCCCCCCATCCAGCCGCCGAGATTGCCTCTGTTCAAACCCGTTCTGCAAGGGGGCAGAGCTGGACGGTGGGAAGGGGGGGGGGTGGCCACACTCAGCTCCCGCCCGTGGGAAAATGCGACAGCTGCTCGCCCGCTGCCCCGCCCGCCAACAAAGCGCCGGCCTCCGCCTCAGAATCAGAGCGGCCCATTGTGGAGTCGGGGCCGCCTCCAGGGGCACCAGGACTGCACCCCGGAGACCCGGCCCCGCCTCCGCCGACACCCAATACCTGCTCCCGCGGGCGCGCATCTCTAGGGCAGCCCCCAAACACACACAGGAGGGGGATGAAGGTCCCCCATTCGGAAGGAATTCGACCCCATCTCGAGAAGGGATCAATTACTTAAGCCCCTCCCTCCCCATCTTAGGGGGCTGAGAAACGGGGGAGGGTGGTGTGACATAGAGCAGCACTTTCTGGAAGAGAACAAATAATTCTCGCCTGCAACTCTCGGAGAAAGAGTGGATTAATCACTCGATTCCCCAGAGACCCCCCTCGATGTGCGGCGAGGAGAGATGTAAGAGCCCCCCACCCGCGTCCCGCTCTCCACCCCCAAGCTCTCCAAACTTCAACTCTGCAAAGCAAAAGGAAAAGTTCAGTGCCCCCCAGCGCGAAGGCTTCTTACGCAAACCCCTCCCCCAAACTGAGAGCTGGGCTGGGGGGCACCGGCGGGCGGGGCGACCGGGAGCCCGGGGCCCCAGCCGGGCCGCGCGGGTCAGTGAAGGCGAACGCGGCGCCGCGGAGCCCACACTCCGCGCCCCAACATCCGCCCCGGCGTGGGCCAGAAGCGAAGAAGAAAGAAGATAAATGGCCCGGAGAAGCAACAGGAAACCAAAACCGACTCTATTCAAATCGAAAAGTAGTAGGCAGCCCGCCCGCCCGGCCGACCGGCGGCAAGCCCCACGCGCGGCGGGTGAAGGGCGGGCCCGGGTAGGGCCTCCGGGACCCCAGCACCTCACGCCGGCCTCCAAACTCGGCTCCAGGCACGGGCGGCGCGAGTCCGCCTCCACGGGGGGATCGAGGGGGAGGGTCGGTCCTCCCCCAGCCCGGGACTCCAAGAACCCCACACCCCGGGCCGCCCGCTTTTCCCTCTCCACGCCGACCTCCCCGCCGCCCGCTCCCAGCCACGGGGCGCGTGCGCCGGGCGCTGCCGTTTCCAAAGAGCGCGGAAAGTGGGGGCTCGCGGGTGGGTGGGCGCCTACCTCGTGCGGCGAGCGCGGGCAGCAGCGCCAGGCAGAGCAGGGGCGCCAGGAGCGGCGGCATGCCTCCCCCCCGGCTGCCCTCTGCGCCCGGACGGCGGCCTCCTGCGCTGGCCGGCGGGGCTGGGACGCACACGCGCGGCGGACGGTCCCGGGGCGGCGGCGGACAGTCCCGCCCTCTCTTCCCCGGCTGGCAGTTGGCGCTGTGCTCTCGCGGGCTCCCGGGCCCGTCTCCGCGCCCGGCTTGTTCCTTCGCTGCGCTCGCACCCGCGCCCCGCGCCCCGCGCCCCTGCGCTCCCTCCCGCGGCCGAGGCACTAGTGAGACTCAGAGTCGAGGTGCGCTCCGCCCCCACCGGCCCCGCCCCGCCCGGCCCCGCCCCCACCGGTCCCCCCGCCCCCTCCGCGGCCGCCTCCTCCCGCGCGCTGGGTCCGCCTTTGCGCCTCCCCGAGCTGAGCCGCGCGTCCCGAGCCCAGCCTCTCCGGGGAGGAGGGACCCGGCGGCGCGGCGTGGGTCGGGAGCGGGTGCCTGGGACTACTTCTCGTTTGAAAGTTTTCAGAGGCCAAAAGTTTGAGCCGGGGCTGCGGAAGGATCCGGCTCTGGCCGTTGCCGCGCTCGGCGACAATTGCCGACGGAAATTTGCATGTGAATAAGCGGAGGAGCCCGGGGTGGAGTAGGGAGGGCGAGGCCGCAGGCAGCTGTGTCCACCGTGCTCTGGGCCGGGCGGGGAGCAGCTGAGGCCACGTTGGGGGACCCCGGGCCCGGGGCAGGGCTTTGGGGGAAGTGGCCTAGCCGTGGGTGCGCCCCTAGCCCAGCGGCTTCTCTCCCTCCCCAGGGCCCCGTGGCCGCGGCTTTAGGCGTCCAGAGGATCGATCGCCGCCAGACACCCCTGGCCGTGATTGCCTGAGCACTTGACCGCGAGGGATGGGGGCGCAGCGGCCTCAGGGCAGGGAGTTTAGGGCGCCCCAAGGGAGCAGCCTGGACCAGTGCCTCGCGGACGTATTGCGCCCCGCTGCCCCAGGGGGGACCCGCGTCGACATGCTCCTCGGTCACCGTCCTCCTCCTGCCCGGGCGCCGCCTGCCTAAGGTGGCCCCAGAAAGCACAAACGGGTCGGGCGGATCTGCCGCTGGCGCCGGCGCAGCCCCTCCCACGTACCCCTTCCGGCTGATTTATTTCTCCACCACGATGCCAGGCACGGGCACCCTGTGCCAAGCCTGGTTAAGCGCCAGGAGTCCAAAATGCCTGCCATAGTCCCTGCGCAAAGTTCACAGCCTCGTGCTGGGGACAAACAGCGCCCCCTCCCCACTCCAACACAGGGTGGTGAGTGCGATGGCAGAAGGCGCTGGGGGCTCTCCTGGAGTAGGAGGGCTATGCCTGCCCTGAAGGGAGACTGAAAGGCTGAGAGGGACCTAGGACTCGGGAGCCTGGGGGAGTGGCTGCAGAAACCGCAGAGCATGGTGGCAGAGGGAGGCACAGAAAGCGGGACAAATCTCACACCTGACTCCAGCGAGCCTTTCCTGGCACACCTCTTGCCAAGTGCTGAGCACTCTGGAAACAGCCAGTGCAGACGGCCTATCCCCCCCTGTAGCTGCTGCTGGGAGCCTCCCTCGCCTGCGTCCTCCCAGAAGCTGGCCTCACTTCTCCAGGCCTGGGGTAACATCTCGGGGTCAGCGCCCCAGGAGAGGAGGCGTCTGGAGGCAGCAGAGATGTTTATGTAACAGCAGCCCGGCAGCCTGGAGGAGCAGATTTTCCATAGAAGGAAGCGCGGGGCTGTGCGGCTCCCAGGCTGAGGACACTGCCCACCACGACGTCCTCTGCTCCCGGTGGGTGGGGGTGGGGTGGGGCACAGGGAGGCCTGAAGGCCTCAGGCCTAGTGTTGATCGGGTGCAACTGCCTGTGTGCCTCCGTTGGCATCTCTGCCTGTGAGCCCCAGGCCAGAAGTAATCGCCCATGTAGCCCTAGCTGGGGGGCCAGTCCTCAACATTTTTCGAAGGGGTGGCCTGGGAGGGGCGGCCTGGGAGGGGAGGGGATCCCTGGACGGGGGTTCTCCCCTGGTCTGCCCCAGCTGTGCTGACAGCATCTCCACCTGGGGCCTCTATCCTCTACCAGCAGAGAAGAGAGTGGCCCATTCGATGTCCACTCGTCAAGCCGCCCAGCAGCCAGGCACATTCATAAGCCCATGTTACAGATGGTGGAGCTGGGTGCACAGACCTGAGGGAAGCACAGGCCTCAGCCTCCCAGCTCCCAACGCCTGCACCACCCACAGCCGGGAGTACCCCATGGACAGCTGGTACTGAGGAGAAGCAAGGGATGAGGGGGATGGGCCTCCCCTCCCCACCAGCCTGGGAAGGGGGTGGGCCCCTGGCAAGTAGGTGAGAAGCTTCATTCACAAGTTGTCCGGGCTCCCCATTCCTCTTTTTCAGGCCAGTGGGTGTGGGCAGTGGGGGAAGGCAGGGGTCCTACCGAGCAGGAGTGTATCTGCTGCCCTGGGGCCTGGAGACCTTCTCCTGCAGGTCAGGGGGGCAGCACCGGGCAGCGGGCATTGCAGGGGCTAAAGAGAAACAAAAGAAAGCAGGTTGTGTGCAGGGCACCCCAGCCACTCCAGAAACCCAATCAGAAGGTGGGGGCTAGGACCCCAAGAAGCCGAATTGGGGTGCAGTGCTGCCAGGCCTCCCCCGTGGGAGTCACTTTGGGCTTCCTGTCCCAGCTTGTGGTGGGAGCTGGGACAAGGTTCCCGGGGTACCCCTGAGGGCAGGGGTACCCTGAATGAAGGGGCTGTTCCCAAGCTGGCCAAGGAGCCTGGAAGCAGAGGAGATGGGGCCGCAGAGCCGGGTTTGCAGAGGGGAGAGGCAGACGTGGCCCGCAGCCCCCTCTTCTTCAGAGGCCACGTGCAGGTGCGGAGGGGAGAGCAGCCTAGGCGTTGCACCCCAGGAGACTGAACTGGGTCAGTTCCCCCTCGTTTGCTGCCAGAGAAATGGGGGTATCATTGTCAGGGTGGGCTAAGGAGGCCCTGCTGACATTGGCCCAACCAGGCCCCTCCTTTGCGGTTGCTGTGGGGGCTTTCGAGAGCAGAGCAGACCCCAAGTGTGTGGAGAGGCGAAAGCACAGCTGGTCAGCACACGGGGACAGCGACGGAGCTCCTGCCGCCTGTTTGGCCCCAGGTGCTGTGCAGCACGGAGACCCAGGTGACCTTAAAACACCCCAGGGCTGGCTCCGGCCCCAGAGAGATGTGGTCTGAGTGGGGGGGTCAGCAGTGACCCGGTGGGTGGGTGTATTTGAGGGCTGCCTGTGTTGAAAGCTCTGCGGTTGATTCTAAGGAGCGGCCAGAGCTGAGACTCCCAGTTCTGAGCCCAAGGCCCCTTTCCTTTCTGCAGGAATCCATCTTGCCTCTTGCTGCCCCCATGACCCTGTGGCGCTGGGGGGCAGGGAGCGCGATGCTCCCCATTTTTCAGGAGGGAAGCTGAGGCTCAGAGACATCATGAGGATGCCAGCTCAAGGCCCAGCCAGGCCTTGGTTCTCAGCTGCTGTCATCCAGTAGGGTAAGTCGGCCCCCCAGGGGGTGTTGGGGGACACTCCTCCCCTCCCCCACACTCACGGTCTGTTCACTGTGCAAGGCAGCAGGCTGGACTTGGAGCAGGGACCATCGCTTGGCATGGCCACGTTGGAGTGGCCCCTGGGACTGAAAGCAGGGGGCGTGGGGGCTCTGAAGCAGGGCTAAGTGTGGGGACTTCCTGTGGCGGGTACCCTCCCGGGTCCTGGGTGGGGGCCACCACCAGGCAGCTATGGGAACATTCCAGACCACCTAGGGGTAGGGCTCCTTCACCTCTTGAAGCTGACTGTAAAAGACATCTGACCTGCATGCGAAGCTCAAGCTCAGAGGCCTCCAGGGTGTCCGGCCTCCAGGGTCCCTCCTACGCAGCCTCCATGTCCCCATCCACTGCAGCCCCTGACCATCGGGCGCACCGTGGGGTCTTCGAGGGCTGCCAGGCCTCAGGCTCTGCTGCACCAAGTGATTTTGAAAGTCCCATCTGCCTTTATCCACTTAAAAAGAACTTGGGGCCAGGCGCAGTGGCTCAAGCCTGTAATCCCAGCACTTTGGGAGGCCAAGACGGGCGGATCACGAGGTCAGGAGATCGAGACCATCCTGGCTAACATGGTGAAACCCCATCTCTACTAAAAAAAAAAATACAAAAAACTAGCCGGGCGAGGTGGCGGGCGCCTGTAGTCCCAGCTACTCGGGAGGCTGAGGCAGGAGAATGGCGTAAACCCGGGAGGCAGAGCTTGCAGTGAGCTGAGATCCGGCCACTACACTCCAGCCTGGGCGACAGAGGGAGACTCCGTCTCAAAAAAAAAAAAAAAAAAAAAAAAAAAAAAAAAGAACTTGGGACACTTCCTCGAGGTTGGGCATTTTTTCAGATGTGGTTTCATGTCTGGCTTGCAACCTGGTCACCTGTGCTGGGCGGTCTGCTGTGACGCACCTGGCTGTCCTTCCTCTAGGATGGATTTGGGCTGGCCCTTGTTCCAGGAGGCTGGGGTCTGGAATCTGCTGCCCCTGCTGCATGCAGACAGCCACCGTCACCCAGGCCCAGGGGTGCCCGCAGGTGCTGGGCATCTCACCCTGGCCCTCACAGGGGTCCCTCACACCCTGCACCTCTCGGTCTGTGCCGTGGACTTCCCTGCTCTGCTGTCGCAGGCCTTGTCCTCTGCGGAAGCAGTGTCTTCCCCACGTGTCCCTGAGACTCCTCAGCCATCCCAGAGGCTCTCGGCTGTCTGAACGCCCCCGAACACGAAGCTTTCCTGACCCACTCTGTGTATGAGGCAGAACCCGTCCCTGTCAGGACCCAGGACCCACACCAGAGGATCCGGAAGATTTGCTGACTGACCTGACTGCAAGAAGCTGAAGGAATGTGGGCGCAGGCCCAGCAGCGGCTTGCGTGGTACCAAGTCAACTGGCTGTCCATGCAAGCCACTGTGACCGGCCCTCCTGTTGGCATCTGGAGCCCTCCCTGGACCCAGTTGCCAGAACAGTGGCCCCCAGCTGTGGCCAGGACTCTGCTCGGGGCCCTGTCTGCTCGGTGTCTCCAGCGGTCCCCACGCAGAAACTGCCCCCCTTGCTACCCCTGAGGCCTGGGATAGGGTCAGCATCCGAGAGGCAGGCCCTGCTGTTCCCCTCTGCACAGAGGCTGAGGCAGTGAGTTGCCCGGGCAAGTCCCCAGGCAGGCACTGAACCTCCTGAGCAGGTGAGCGGAGAAGGCCCCAGCTGGTGTGGGCCTCGAGGGCTGTAGGATTGACCATGGAGCAGACCTGGCATTGTTCTAGAGCTGGGCCAGGGGGTGGCTGGTGCAGTACAGATCTCAGGTGGAGGCCACCTGCCCGTCCTTTGCATGTGACTCAGGGCTCAGACCCACCTGCCTGTCCCTGGAAGCTCCTAGACTGCTCAGAGCACAGACCTCAACGGGAAAGAGAGTAGATGGGTCTGGGTATGGTCTCCCAGCCCTGAGAAGTGGGGAGCCCACTCAGACCTTTCCAGGACCCCAGGTCCCCTCAGCAGCCCACAGGGCCTGGGTGGAGCCTGGGCTGGGTGTGGGTCACTCGGGGGCCAATGGCCCATTTCTGCGGCTTCCAGGGAGTCCCAGGGAGACGGCAGAGGCAGTGCCTGGCTGGGGACCCTGGTTGGCACGCCGTTTGGGGGGTGCATGCACTGGGAAGTTGGCCAGGCCTGCCCAAATCAGGGCTTCCGGGAGGAGAGAAATCAGGAAGGTGGGCACCGAGGAGGCTTAGCACCGGGGCTGGAACCTCCAGGCAGGGCCCGTGGGGGGCTGGACCAGACAGGGAGGCTGTCACGATGTCTGGTTCTTGGATGGGGGCACTGAGGCTCTGAGTGGGGTGGCAGAGCTTGGCCACCAGGTCCATCTGCACCCCGCATATCCCCTCACTACCCCCAGACCCCCATGATCCCAAATTACTCAGTCCCAGGGACCCCTGCAGAGCCTGTGGGGGAGACTTCCACGCTGCCTGGCCCATGCCCCCCTCACCTCAGAACTTTCTCCAAAAAGTAAGAGCCCCGGGGGACGAAACTTCGAGGCTCCACCCCTTGGGCTCTGGTACAAACCGGGAGCCTCCGAGGGCTGAGTCACTGGGAAAGCCAGACCCGGTGGCCCCTCCCCCTCCCTTTCCTTCCTTCCTCCTTCCCCCTTTCTCGGTCCCCCTCTTTTTCTCTTTGCTTTATTTCTCTTTCTTCCCTCCCTCTGTCCCTCTCTTCTTTCCTTCCTTTCATCTTCCTCCCTTCCTCCGTCTTTGCCTTTCTTCCTTTCCGGGGGTAAAAATAGCTGGAAACCCCCCTTTAAAAAAAAGTTTATTTTAATCTTAGAAGGACGATGTTGGTGTCCCAAAGCAGAATCGTTTGTCCCGGCGGAGCCACCAGCAGAGCCAGGAGTCCCCGAAGGACTTTGACCACACCCCCCACCCCACCCAGCCTGTGCCTGGTCCCCTGAGTGGAGCCTGGGCCATCCTTGACCTCACTGCTGGGGTGATGGAGAAGCTCCTGCCTGAGGCGAGAGTTTCTCAGGCGGCCGGAGTTTCCTCCCATCTGCTCCAGACACATTTAAACAAGCTGAGAACTTCCGACCCCCACACTTCCCCCCACAGACCCCCACGGACCCCTCTGCAAATGAACATGGGCCTGGAAATCGGGGTTTGGGTTACAGAGAGCACGGGGAGTTCTGTTCGTGAAGTAACACGGAGCACGAACGTTAGCAGGTACCGCACATCTGTGAGCTATTTTCGGGTCTCCAGGGGGAAGGGAAAAAGCCCTAAGCCTTAAGTAAGACCAGGACTCTTCTATATTTTTACTTTGACAGCTAAGGAAAAAAATTGCCAAAAACCAGAGGCGCTGCTGAGTGTTGGCGTGGGAATGTTAGTTTAGTCAGAGCCTTGCCCTGGGCCATTTAAATAAAAACAGGCATGTTGGTGGCAAATGCCAGTTGAACACGCAGGAGAGCGGTGCTTCTGGGACCCGGAGAAGGGTGTGCAGCTGCACTCTCTCTTCCCTTTTTTCTTGGCCTCCCCAGCCTTCTTATCATCACGATCAGCATTTCACTGGTAAACATTTGGTGCAATAATTTTCAAAAATCAGCAAGAAAAGTCTGAGCGTTTAATGTGGCTGGGACTGCGTGGCCCCAGCTGGGAGTGTGGATTCCCAGCGCCTCCCGGAGCCTGTCTCCGAGGGATACGCCAGTCACTTGAGGGCCTTTGCACAACATAAATCAGACCGACTATCTCTAGGATGGAGAGGGGGATAAACTCACGTGTAGCAAGTGAAGGCCAGAGGCTGCCGTGGGATGGCATTGCCTGTTCCCAGGGGCTTGCGGTGGTGGAGCAGACAGGGAGACCCCGGAGCCCCCTCCCCTCCTTGCTGGGAATGTTGCACAGACCCACCTTCAGGGACTCAAATTCAGAGCCTGCCCCAGGGGTGGCGAACGTATCTGGGACACTAAGCACCCACCTACTGGCTGCATCTCGTGGCCTTTCGGTCTTTTTTTTTTTTTTTTTTTTTTTTCAGATGCAGTCTCACTCTGTAGCCCAGGTTAGAGTGCAATGGCATGATCTCGACTCACTGCAACCTCCACCTCCCAGGTTCAAGCGATTCTCCTGTCTCAGCCTCCAAATAGCTGGGATTACAGGTGTGCGCCACCACGCCAGTTAATTTTTGTGTTTTTAGTAGAGATAGGGTTTCACCATATTGGTCAGGCTGGTCTCGAACTCCTGACCTTGGGTGATCTGCCCGCCTCGGCCTCCCGAAGTGTTGGGACTACAGGCGTGAGCCACCGTACCCGGCCAGCCTTTCGGTCTTGAAGGGTCTCTGGGAGGGCCTCAGAGAATGTCTCGGTTTCTTCACTCTTGGGTTGCCATCGACTGAGGTCCGGGCTGGGAAGGGGTGATGAGCCCAGGACTCTTCTGGCGAGGATGAGTGTCCGTGTTGGGAGGCTCACTTCTGCCACTGCTCCTTGGTGATGTGGGGCTGGCTGGAGAGTCCCTCCGTTCCTGGGAGCCCCTCTTGGGGGGGTGGCGAGGGGAGGTGGGCCACTGCAATGAATCTGACACCAGCCACTCTCTCCCCGCCCTGCCGGCAGCCCTCACTCATGGGGGGGTCTATCCTCCTTTCCCCAAAGCTGGGGGTCCTGAGTGCGGTTGAAGTAACGTCTGGTCCTCCTTAGAACAGTGGGGCTTGGAATTCATTCAAGGGAAGAAGAGTGAAGGAACGCAGATGCCGACTGCATGGAGCACCCCCCAGCTGCGGCCCCTAGAGCCTGCGAGCTCTGTGAGCCAGAAAGAGAACGGCTGGGGAGAGGGCTGTGTGGGGCCCCGTACTTCCAAGGCTGCTGCGGAGGACCGACGGGGCCCGGGGACCCTGACTGAGGTGTGCTGAGCGCAGCAGCTCTGGACAGGCCGCACCGGCCTCTCTGTCATCTGTCTGTCATCTGTCTGCCTGTTGGTCGAGAGGGACAGACCTGGTGCTGTGAGAAGAGGCCCCCTGGGCCCTGCCTCTCCCATTGACTGAGCCTGGACTGCAGACCCAGCCGCCCTCACGCTGGGCACAGACTTAGGTTTTGACAAGATCCAAACGGCAGCAGGATGTGCGCCTGGTAGGGGTAGGAGGGCCTCCCCTGGACTGAGAGTGTATTCACGGAGCCCCTTCCCTGCAGCGCAGGCTCTGGGGGACGGTGGCCAGGACGGAGGCCCTTGTGGAAGGAGGGAGATGTGAACAGTGAGCCCCCTGCATGCAGGCATCTGGGGAAGAACATTTCAGCCAAGTGACTCTGATCACACCCTGACCCCGGCCGTCCTGGCCCTGTGGACCAACCCTGGGGCCCAGGATTGACAACAGCCAGTGCTCGCTGGTGCCTCCAGCCTGGGCCAGGCTTGTGTGCCAGTCCCTCCAACGATGGGGCAAGCCCAGCCCCATCCACGCCCTTCTCCTTCTCCCCCGTGCTTCCCTCCACCCCCAGGAATGGGCTCCGGGTCTGTCACTCGTCACTCATGGGGGGCTATGGGTTCCCCCAAAAGACACGCTGGATCCCCCCAGAACCTGTGAGCGGGACTTGTTTTGGA